CTACACATTCAATGCAATCCCCATCAAAATACCATCCACTTTTTTCAAAGAAATGGAACAAATAATCCTAAAATTTGTATGGATCCAGAAGAGACCCCAAGTAGGCAGAGGAATGTTGAAAAAGAAAAGCAAAGCTGGCGGCATCACAATTCCGGACTTCCAGCTCTATTACAAAGCTGTCATCATCAAGACAGTATGGCACTGGCACAAAAACAGACACATAGATCAATGGAACAGAATCGAGAGCCCAGAAATGGATCCTCAACTCTCTGGTCAACTTATCTTTGACAAAGCAGGAAAGAATGTCCAATGGAAAAAAGTCTCTTCAACAAATGGTGTTGGGAAAATTGGACAGCCACATGCAGAAGAATGAAACTGGACCATTTCCTTACACCACATACAAAAATAGACTCCAAATGGCTGAAAGACCTAAGCGTGAGACAGGAGTCCATCAAAATCCTAAAGGAGAACACAGGCAGCAACCTCTTCGACCTCAGCCGCAGGAACTTCTTCCTAGAAACATCACTAAAGGCAAGGGAAGCAAGGGCAAAAATGAACTATTGGGATTTCATCAAGATAAAAAGCTTTTGCACAGCAAAAGAAACAGTCCACAAAACCAAAAGACAACCGACAGAATGGGAGAAAATATTTGCAAATGACATATCAGATAAAGGGCTAGTATCCAAAATCTATAAAGAACTTATCAAACTCAACACCCAAAGAACAAATAATCCAATCAAGAAGTGGGCAGAAGACATGAACAGACATTTTTCCAAAGAAGACATCCAAATGGCCAACAGACACATGAAAAAGTGCTCAACGTTGCTCGGCATCAGGGAAATCCAAATCAAAACCTCAATGAGATACCACCTCACACCCGTCAGAATGGCTAAAATTAACAAGTCAGGATATGACAGATGTTGGCGGGGATGTGGAGAAAGGGGAACCCTCCTACACTGTTGGTGGGAATGCAAGCTGGTGCAACCACTCTGGAAAACAGTATGGAGGTTCCTCAAAAAGTTGAAAATAGAGCTACCCTATGATCCAGCAATTGCACTACTGGGTATTTACACCAAAGATACAAATGTAGGGATCCGAAGGGGTATGTGCACCCCAATGTTTATAACAGCAATGTCCCCAATAGCCAAACTGTGGAAAGAGCCAAGATGCCCATCGACAGATGAATGGATAAAGAAGAAGTGGTATATATACACAATGGAATATTATGCAGCCATCAAAAAAAATGAAAGCTTTCCATTTGCAATGACGTGGATGAACTGGAGGGTGTTATGCTGAGTGAAATAAGTCAATCAGAGAAAGACATGTATCATATGACCTCACTGATATGAGGAATTCTTAATCTCAGGAAACAAACTGAGGGTTGCTGGAGTGGGGGTGGGGTGGGAGGGATGGGGTGGCTGAGTGATAGACACTGGGGAGGGTATGTGCTATGGTGAGTGCTGTGAATTGTGCAAGACTATTGAAACACCGATCTGTACCTCTGAAACAAATAATGCAATATATGTTAAGAAAAAAAAAGAAGAAGAAGAAGATAGCAGGAGGGGAAGAATGAAGGGGGGAAATCAGAGGGGGAGACGAACCATGAGAGATGATGGACTCTGAAAAACCAACTGAGGGTTCTAGAGGAGAGGGGGTGGGGGGATGCCTGGTGATGGGTATTAAAGAGGGCACGTTCTGCGTGGAGCACTAGGTATTATGCACAAACAATGAATCATGGAACACTATATTAAAAACTGATGTAATGTATGATGATTAACATAACAATAAAAAAGTAAAAAAGAAATTCCAGTTAGTTAACCTACAGTGTAATATTAGTTTCAGGTGTACAATATAGTGATTCAACACTTGCATACAACACCCAGTGTTCATCACAAGCACACTCCTTAATCCCCGTCACCTATGTCACCCAGTCCCCTACCCAGTATATAATTATTTTTGAGAGACATGCTCAGGAAGGATGAAACATGGTTCTCTTAGGGCCTATAACAAATTTATCTTGCCTGCACAGGTGCTTAGAGGGGGTTTTCTAAGAAAGTGAGACTTGAACTAAGATGTGAAAAAAATGATTTGGAGGTTAAATAGAAGACTCAGGAGAAGAAAATGAAGGAGAAGAGATTTTTTTATAACTGAGTAAAGAGCATTTGCAAAAACCCTGTATCAGGTATCCTGTTGCCAGCAGTAAAAAGAAGGCCAGGGTGGCTAGGAAGCAAATGGAGCAAATGAGAGCAAAAGAGGCAAAAAAGCGCTTAGGCCTTACAGGACCTCATAGGTGTGGTCAGTATTTTATTCTTAATTTTGAGAACAATGGAAAGATACAAAAAGACTTTTACGATTAGAATGAGAAAGATCATTGTAGCATTTTGAAAAGATCCCTGCCTCCTGTGCAGACCACACTGTAGGAGTCAAAGCAGGAAGCCTGCTGGGAAGCTCTTGCAAGAGATGAGAGACTTGGAGGAGGGAGGGCCAGTGTGGGGAGGGGCAGAGGAGAAGCAGAGAGAGAAGCAGGGTCCTCGCTGAGTAGGAAGCCTGATGTGGGACTCTATCGCATGAACCTGAGATCATGACCTGAGCTGAAGGCAGACACTTAACTGACTGAGCCACCCAGATGCCCCTCCTTTATTGTTCTTATCATAATTTGTAATTATCTATTTACCCATGTTTACTCACAGTTTCTTTTTTAATTTTTTTTATTATTTTTAAAATTTAAATTCAATTAATTAACATACAGTGTATTATTAGTGTTTCAGGTCAGTGATTCATCAGTCTTATATAACACCCGGTGCTCATTACATCACATGCCCTCCTTAATATCCATCACCCAGTTACCCCATCCCTCCACCCCCACCCCTCCAGCAACCCTCAGTTTGTTTCCTATGATTAAGAGTCTCTTACGGTTTGTCTCCCTCTCTGATTTCATCTTGTTTTATTTTTCCCTCCCTTCCCCTATGATCCTCTGTTTTGTTTCTTAAATTCCACATATGAGTGAGATCATGATAATTGTCTTTCTCTGATTGACTTATTTCACCTAGCATAATGCCCTCTAGTTCCATCCATGTCGTTGCAAATGGCAAGATATTATTTTTTTGATGGCTGAGTAGTATTCCATTGTGTGTGTATGTGTGTGTGTGTGTGTGTGTGTGTGTGTGTGTGTGTGTGTGTGTGTGTGTATCACATCTTTTTGGCTCTTTCCATAGTTTGGCTATTGTGGACATTGCTGTTATAAACACTGGGGTGCACGTGCCCCTTTGGATCACTACATTTGTTTCTTTAGGGTAAATACCCAGTAGTGTAATTCCTGGGTCATAGGGTAGCTCTATTTTCAACTCTTTGAGGAACGTCCATACTGTTTTCCAGAGTGGCTGCACCAGCTTGCATTCCCATCAACAGTGTAGGAGGGTTCCTCTTTCTCTGCATCCTCACTAACATCTGTCATTTCCTAATTTGTTAATTTTAGCCATTCTGACTGGTGTGAGGTGGTATCTCACTGTGGTTTCGATTTGTATTTCCCTGATGACAAGTGACGTGGAGCATTTTTTCATGCATCTGTTGGCCATTTGGATGTCTTCTTTGCAGAAATGTCTGTTCATCATGTCTTCTGCCCATTTCTTGATTGGATTATTTGTTCTTTGGGTTTGATAAGTTCTTTATAGATTTTGGATACTAGCCCTTTATCTGCTGTGTCATTTGCAAATATCTTCTCCCATTCTGTCAGTTGTCTTTGGTTTTTGTCGACTGTTTCCTTTGCTGTGCAAAAGCTTTTTATCTTGATGAAGTCCCAATCATTCATCTTTGCCCTTGCTTCCCTTGCCTTTGGAGATGTGTCTAACAAGAAGTTGCTGAGGCCAAGGTCACAGAGGTACTTGCATAGTTTCTGTGTCTTTCTTTACACTGCAAAAATCTGTGGGGGTATGGGTCATGTTCATTTTGTTTATCACAGAATGCTCAACTTTTAGCAAAGGTACTGCAATCAATATTGAATTTAAAATATATATATATAATAGAACATGATAAATGGCCAATAACTATTATGATTATAAGTCATGTTAGTCACATTAGCTGTTATTATTATTTGATCAGGAAATAAATTCTCATTTGATAAAGATACACACCTAGCTAATAGCAGAGCAAAGGAAAAAAATGCTCAAAATGAAGCAGAGGTAGTTAATAGAATGAAGGAGTATCAGATAATTTTGATTTAGTTGCTTGTCCCAGGGAAAAATTTAATACAATAGAAGATGCTGATATTTCTTGATATACATCTTATATACATAAATACAATCTGTCTTCCTTGGTGATGCTAACAACCTGTGAGCACCCCTGCTGTCGTTAACCTACTTAAAGCCTGAGAGCTTTTCTACTGGATCCTTTCTAAAATTAAAAAAAAAATGCAGCAAATTAATTTTACTGATTTATCTGTTTGTATCACCTAACTCAAATATGGAGACAAGAAATAATATAATTTATATTTTGCACCTCCTAACCCCCCAACACATAGTAAAGAGGAATGCATTGCTTTCTCAGGTTAGAACAAACGTATCCTAGGAACTGTCTTGGGCCCCTAATCTCATCTTTAGGAATGGAACTTCTCTGACCTCAATCACTTCAGATCCCAACTGCTGTTTCCAGTGGAAATTCGTTACTAGCTTTCAAAATTTTAAACATCATATAGTTCTTGGCACTGCACTTCCACTTCTAAGACTTTTGTGAAGCGAGACAGAAATGAATGCAAATAAATGGATACTTAATGTAGTACTCTTTATAAGAAAAAAATTACTAAAAATAATTTAAGTGTTTGCATAAATGAAAGTTTAAATGAAGTATGAATCATTCATACATGCTTTTTTTTATTTATTTATCTTCCATGTGCCAATCATCTTTTAGTGGACATTAATTCTCAATTAGGATATGAAAGGATTCAGGGGTGTGAGGAAAAGGTCATGGTCAGGAATGCAGAATGCACCCTCAATATCGGGCCCTCTTCAGTGGTACTTGTGTAGCTGCTCATGTTTGAGTTCCTTGTATGAAAGGAAGTAGTTGAAAAACTCGTAAGCTGCCAACACCATAGAAATCCCAGGGACATTTCCTTTCTTCACATTAACATACGTTAAAAAAACTTTTTTTATTATGTTATGTTAGTCACCATACAGTACATCATTAGTTTTTGATGTAGTGTTCCATGATTCATTGTTTGCATATAACACCCAATGCTCCATGCAATACGTGCCCTCTTTAATACCCATCACCAGGCTCACCCATCCCCCCAACCCCTCTCCCCTCTAAAACCCTCAGTTTGTTTCTTGGTGTCCATAGTCTCTTACGGTTCATCTCTCCCTCCGATTTCCCCCCCTTCATTTTTCCCTTCCTTCTCCTAATGTCCTCCATGCTGTTCCTTATGTTCCACAAATAAGTGAAACCATATGATAATTGACTTTCTCTGCTTGACTTATTTCACTTAGCATAATCCCCTCCAGTCCCATCCATGTTGATGCAAAAGCTGGGTATTCATCCTTTCTAATGGCTGAGTAATATTCCACATTAACATGCTAAATGAAACATCAGTAGTAACCCCTTTGAAACATTCCAGCAATGCCTTTAGGAGTAAAATCCCACATCAGTATCCAGCTTGGCAGCTCTCCTATTTTGACATCGTCGATGAGCTTCTTCTCCTTCACTGGTATGACTGACACCATCTTGGAGTCCTAGGTGTCCATATACACTTTTTTAAATGAGCAGAAAATATTTTGAAAAATCACATAAAGTTGTTAGTGGTTTCCTCTACTTTGTGAGATTTATGGAGTAAAGAAATTAAAGTTACATATGTAATTATACACATAGTTACATATCATTATGGTTATATATAACTTGCACTAATTATATATAATAACTATTTCTACATTCTCCTTATCTTCACACTATTTTTTTTTCTATTTTTTAAAAAATATTTATTTGAGAGAGAGCAACGAGACAGCGGGGAGGGGGGCTGAGGGAGAGAGAGAAAGAGGATCTCAAGCAGACTCCCGTTGAGTGCAGAGCCTGACACGGGGCTCGATCCCATGACCCTGAGATCATGACCTGAGCTTAAATCAAGAGTCAGATGCTTAACGGACTGAGCCACCCAGGTGCCCCCCCTTCATAATGGTTTTCAATTATACTTTTTATTTTGAAATAATCATAGAGTCACAGGAAGTTGTAAGAAATAACACAGAGAGATCCAGCATATTCTCTACTGAGTTTCCCCTAATGACAACATCTTGGAAAACTATACTACAATATCAAAACCAGTATGTTGATATTGATACAGACAAGAAACAAAACATACTCTGGTTTTTCCCATTTCCCATCTCCTATCTCCTGCCTGAGCCTCCCAGGGTCAGAATGCAGCCCAAAGTTCAGCTGACCTAGGAACCTGAGGGGTTAGCATCACAGAGCAGAGCAGGGAAAGGGTGGGGAGTGGATCTGAGGGCAAATGGTTCCAAGACTGGCACAAGCTCAGGCCTGAAGGCAGATCAGGGCAGATATTCTTGGTAGGAAGAAACGAGGTTTTGCATTAAGGCATAAAAGTGTTAGCAGGAAAGAGATTTAGTGATTTTCTCAGTGTGAATGGGGCTACAGCACACTTCAAGAAAGGAATATTCCAAGAAAGAAAAGGAAGGAAGGAAGGGAGGAAAAAGATTGACTAGACTAGACATGTAAACAAAGGCCAGGTCATGAAGGGCTTTGTAGCCATACTAAGGAACTTGACATCTGTAGGTAATTGTACATCACCAGAATTATACCTTGGAAAGACAATTCTGGCATCATCATAGATGGTGGCACGGAGAAAAGGAAAGGATAGTTCAGAACTTAGTAGCCAAAGGATGACGCAGTGAAGACCTAACTTGATGATGTTTAACTTAAAGTCAAGCAGAGAGAAAGACATGATTATGTATTCCTGAAAATGCCGGTTCTCTTGATAACAAGAGCCTCTCTGGAGTTTATGACCCAAGAGAAAAATTATCTAGTGGGCCCTTCTGAATAGAGCCCCTAGAAATAAACACAGGACAAAATGAAATCTATTCATTGCTTTATTCACTCTTTTCAGGGGTCACTACACCTTAGGATGAAATGAGTTCCAGCCCCAGAGGACAGCACTATTCCCCTTCCCCTCCACTGCTGCTTTGTGCTGACATCACACCAAATGCAACAGCGCCTCCTGAAAGGCAGAAGGACAAGAATAAAAATAAAGTGGTTTACATGTGCTTAGCATGTTTCCAAAAATAGTCACCAACCTATTTAGCCACCATTTTACTGATGCGGAAATGGAGGCCCAGAGTGGTTAAGTCCCAACTAGAATCACTAAGCTGAGAAATGCAAAGTCACAATCATAACAGATCTCTTTCATTCAAAAATCCCTTCTAGAAATGTAATGCTGCCCCTTCCTTGAGATTCCTGGGCATGCAAACTTTGTATGAGTATATCCAGGGAAATACATGTCTACAGGTGAGAACAGGGTGAGTGGGGGCATGGGGGGGGCGTTCAGGTGACTAAGCTCCCCCCATTGACAAATTAGTCCACAACCTATAGTTACCAGCAGTTTCTTCACTGCCTCAGAGGCCTCTGGTCCCAGCTCATTCACACACTTTCTTAGCCCTTCCACAAGGTGCTCAATAGAAATGCCCAGAGTGTTCAGAAGAAGCTTTAATGGATCCATAAAGGGGAGAATGCTGTCCACAGGTAAAAGGTAAGGCTTTGTTGACAGCATCTGGCAAACTGTTGGTAAGGAAGGCGGTAGCTGCAGAGCAAAACGGAAACTGAGTGAAATAGGCACATTTGACTCCTGTCCACGACTGCACTACTTTCCACTGTGTCCATCAATAACTCTGTTCCAGTCTCACTTGATTTCCCATGAAAACTTTTGCCTCAGGGCCTTTGCACCTGCTGTTCTGTCTCCTCAGAACTTTTTTCTCCAGTTAGCTACACGTCTCTCCTCAAATGTTACCTCCTCAGAAAGGTACCTAAAATAGCATCATTTATCATCCTCTAACTTCATTTTTTCTTACCATTATGTAAAATAGTAAACCTCACTTATTTATTTTGTGCCTTCAACCTCTAATATGCAGACTCCATGAGAACAAGGAATTTATGTTTTATTCACTACTGTACCTCATGCCTAGAATAGACCCTGGCATTTAGTAAGCACTCAGCAGAAACTGGTGGTTCACTGAACAGGAATGTACTTTGCATGTGGTTATCTCCACAATCCATGGCTTTGAGGCCAAAAAGTAGATTCCATAATGAACCTTCACTTGGGGACATGCATGAACCCAATCAACCACAGCCCAGGAAACTGCTCCCAACCAATTCAACCCAATGCTACAAACATAACTGAACACCAACTCTGTAGTGGTTAGTGCAGATACATAGATGAATAAGATGAGCATATTCCATTCAGAGAACTTACACAGTCTGGTGGACAATAAAGATCTGTACATGCCACAGTGTGGCATGTGCTGTGCTAACATCGTGGATAAAGTTCTATGGAAACATAAGACAAGGGATGACTAATTCTAATGTGACAGAGTGTTGGAGCAGTCTTCCCAGAGAGATGTTGCTGGAGCTGTGTCTTGAGGCAGAATCCAGGGTCACAGGGTAAAGTAGGGGAGGTGCATTTTAAAAAGGAACAAAATTAACAAGGGCACTGAAATGTGAGGATGAAAGTGTGCACACTGCCTGGTGAACCTTCCAGAGCAGCTGGAGTGCAGAATTCCAGTGAGGTATGCTGAGGTGGGGAAGGAGGTAAGGCAGCAAAACCCAGGTGAGGTCAGATTTTTCAGAGCCTGGAATGCCATATTAATGCATTTGAGACTTTTTTCCCTAAGGGCAATGGGGAGGTATCAAGGCTCTTTTATGGAACAATTGCGTTTTGCATCTTTGGCTTTAGAAAGATAACTTTCACATAGAAGATGAATAGAAGGGAAAGCGTAGAGAATGAGAAAAATACATACAATATACATTTTTACAAAACACATGTGCAAATATGTAAACACACATGTACATGAGAACACACATAAGAACACACATCTTCCTAGTAAGACCCTGCCATAGTTCATTTTCCTCTGGAATCCTTTTCGTTCCCCAAATTGTACAAGTGGAGCCTATGCATCTATCTTCCCTTCATCTTCTGCCACCCATTTTCCCTCCAAAACCCTCCTGCATAGGAGGGATATTTATTTCCTTCCAACCAGCTTTCTGTTGCCACCTCCGTCAGTAAATATTTGACACTAGTTACTAAAGACAACAAAATAGCCAAAACTGGTGAAGTTACAAGTTGGTCCAAAATTTCAGTAAAAAGCACAAACCAAAGTTGCCAATGTGGGAGTGGACAGCACCTAGTTTCTCATGATTAGTCTCCCTACTTATTTTAAAGGTTCTGGTGGCTGTCTTCTCTGCATATACTTATATACTTCCAGGGGAAGACCTTCAAGGCTTTCTATTCTTTGAATGAACAGTGGCTATCATAATACATTTTGCAGATGCATCCAAATATACTTTCCTGTAGTTAAAATGATTCCCTTCAAAAAGAATGGATCAAGAATCCAACTTCTATACCCCACCTAGAAATTGAACTGTTCGCCCCTCAGTTCTCCCACAGAGCTCTGGCTGTGTGTCTCTGTGCATTAGTTTAGCATCATAGTGACTTCTGTCTGAGGAAGCCTTATCTCCCCCGTCAGATTACAAGAACCTTGTAAACAATCTGTGTCTGATTCATATCTAAATCTTCCCATGCTTATCCAAGTGCCCAACGGTTTGTAGCCATTCAGCAACTATCCATTGACTGTGTGAATGATAAATGTAGCTATGTCTCAGGAGAAACAACCTGGCAACTGATTACAAAAGATAGAAAGAATGACTCCGTATAGTTTCAAAAGAAAGAAGTTACCAAGTGAGATTTTGACTCAAGATTAATTAATAAAGAAAAGAAAAACTATGGTGACAATGTTCAAGAATGTTGACCTCTAGTGTGAGTTGGCTAACTTCTTATGTAGGATTCACTAAGGATAATACTTCTATTGGGTTAGAGCTTGGTAGGCTGGGGCTGGGGTGAGGGTGGGGTTGCTGCATCTGAAATCCCTTCTGACCTTTCCATTCTGTGGTTCTAAAATTCCCTCCACCATATTCCCCTGGAAGCCTAGGCTTACTGATTACACTACTATCACAGAAAAGTAGAGATACGTGTTCGGGCTACTTACCAGAGTAAATGCAAATGCTGACAGTCACCAGCAGAAACACAGTTACCAGCTTCATGACAGGGTTTCTGTGATATTTACTTGGAGTTTAAAATTGAACTGCAAAATGCAGTGAATCCACTGAGCTAGTGGCCCCACTTACGGTAGTAGATGTGATGGCTGCTTTCTGCACAGGCACATATTTATATCCCAGGAATGACCTATTGTCAGTCCCTACCACTTGACACCCCAGAGAAGAGCAGGAAGATCATGTTTCCTCACTAAATAAATTGGAGGTTTTTCCACTTTCCCTCATATTCCCACAAGAAACAAAGCCCTAACTTGAAGCATTCTCAAGGACCTCTCATAAAAGCCCTTTCTTGCCCAGAGATGCCAATGGGAACAGAGAGCTCTAAGAGTCCTTGTCTTGAAAGAATCTTGAAAAGAAGGGAAAGTTTTATATTGGGATTAAAAAAGCAAATGTTCTGTTTTCCTCCAGCTTTCTCTTCATCTAAAGTTTGCAGAATCACATTACCTGATAAGCGACCTAGTCGTGGAAGCAATCGGGAGGTCCCATCAGCTGTAGTATATACAGAGTCAGCTTCATTACATTTAGTACCATATTTCTCTAGAATTTACCTCTACCCACCCCATCCCCACTCACACATCTGCCACGCCAAGACTTCTTATTTTTTCTAGTATCTCCCAGGTAATTTGAGAATCCCTCAGGTGTGCCTTCTCTGTTCTCATATAGAATAATAGGCTATAGGACCTAAAACTCAAAATGCCTTTGTAAAAACCTAGGATTCCATATTTACTCTTGGTGTGATCTTGGATTAAACTTTTTTTAAATCTCTAGTATGGGTTTCCTCATCTAAAGTGTGGGTGTGTGACCCCGAGGGGGGAAAAATTTTTTTGGCAAGACCTTGTCTACATAAATAATTTAGGTCACCAAAACACGCATTTCAGAACCATTCCGGCAATCCAATCCCACACAGTCACACAAAAGAAACACCGTACCAGCCACAGGAGCAATCTGCTTGCAAGGCTGCCCCCTCTGGAGCCAGGACTTAACCAAGGAGCTCCAGAACATCCCTACTTATAAGCACGAGCCCTGCAACTCCTTGAGACATCTGGTGTCTCCCATGCAAGAAAGACGGAAAGAAAGGACCCTGAAGGAGGACAAGAGGATTCAGGGTCCAGGTAGGTGCCAGGCCCAGGTCAAATAGCACTGCTGGCCTCAGCCATCGCCACCATGCAGGAGGGACACAGAACATTCTGAGGAAGCCATGCCAAGACATAAGCGCCTTACAGTGCATGGCCAGGAGTTGGGGCTCTGCTTGAGGGTGTGGTAGTCAGGAAAATTTAGTAAAATTATGGAAACAGAGAATGTAACTGTACCACAACAAGATTAAAACTTATTATGTGTCACCTGTTATTTATTCTTGTAATACAAGGTACTGTGTTGTAACTGCCATTCCTTTATTTTTATGCTACTTTATAAGCTGCAAGAAGGAGAAGATGATTTACCACCATGCTAATTCTCTCCTTCCACTTCTACTGGCTGTCTCTGCCAGAGACTGCTTCCATTTCTCCTGGGTATTAACACCTAGCCAGGCATATTGATCTGCCAAAATGCTCAAAGGGCCAAGGTTGTGTGGGAAAGTGGTGGTAAGTTGATGCCAGCCTTTATTTTTATGTTGAGCGGCGCCTGGCTGGCTCAGTGGGTTGAGCATGCAACCCTTGATCTTGGGGTTGTTAGTTCAAGCCCCATGTTGGGCATAGAGCCTACTTAAAACAAAAAGCTAAAAAAATAAATAAAAATTTTTATGTTGTGACCTCTTTATGCGATACTAACCAACACTGCCCTCATCTGCACTTGTCATTTCCCAGTTTCTCTTCAGATCCTTTCCCTGCACATCCCCTCCTCTGCTCTGTCCTAGAGGAAGCTGAGTTTTCCAAACCATGGTTTCTCGGCTTCCTTGCCCTTGTGTCCGGTTAGGTTCAGTGGACGGAGGGCACTGGTAGAAGATTCAAAGGGAAAGAATGGGAGAGTCCAGGCTATTTCTCCCTTTGTCACTGAGACCAGTGACTCCATCTTCTCTATGGCTCCAGCTCCTTCCAAAAAGGCCCTGTGTCTGTGGTCCCACCCAAGCCAGGCCAACCCACTACTGTTCCAGCTTCTACAGCATGGCCCCAGCTCCTGGTCCCAACTCCTTACTCTCTGACTCCTGGCCAAAGAGCAGTAGCAGTTTCCAGCATTTTCTAATATCTGGATTGACTCAGCTCCCTATTTCTTGCTCTAACTGCCTTTCTAGCACCTTGTAAATTATCCTCCAAGTTAAATTCCTCCTATTTGCTCACCTGGTATGGTTTTGATTTTCTGGCTGGAATCTGACCAATAAAGCATTCTAAAATATTGTAGTTTTTGTTAAAAACAGATCTTTCAGTTTTTAAACAGAGGTGCCTCCCTCACAAATGATAAGCTATATGTCCATGAGGGGCAGGGCCAAGACTCCTCCAAGAGAAATACAGCATTATACACACAAAAATGCTTCTCTCTTCCAACCTTGGAGGTGTGTGGTACTCTCCTGAGCTTGTCTGCTGGCCTGACCAGCATGAGTTCTTCTCCAGGAAGACCTGTGTGCTAGATTCTGATGTGCCTATCGAATAACCTACCAGACATGCAGTGTTGGCTGAAACCTAGTAGCAGACACAGCTTAGACTGAAGGCTAAAACCTGCTCCATGTAAAACACACACACACACACACACACATTCAGCAACACAAACACCCACATTCTTACACATGCATGAACAGTCATATGTGCCTGTGCACACATACACACATAACCATCAAATACTACTGTTTTCAGTCACTTGTTCAACAAATGTTTATTGATCATCCTCTGTGTGTCAGGAACCAAAACTGGAACAGTAAGCCAGACAAGCAAATTTCTTGCCTTCCTGGATGTGACAGTGTAATGGGATAAAGGGAGAACGAACAGGCAAGCAAAGAAAAGAACAAGCGATAGGTAAGTGGTAAGAGGCAAACAAGGTGTTGTGAGAGGGAAGAAGGGGATCGGGAGTATAGCCAGACTTGAAAAGAAACTTGGACTTGGCTACTTCCATGATTCATGAGTTCAGAGCTACTGCATTCATCAGGTCTTTTTATTCCATATTTTTGATGCTTTGAGATCTTGGGGCCTTGCTGACCTTAGAGGTACAGCCTTTCCCAGGGTTAGCTAATTCCTAGAGATAGCAAATAATTTACTTGGGAGTGCCCCTTTCATATGCAAACCAACTAACCTAGAGCCCGTATGCCAACCACCTCCTTTATGGAACTCATACTCTGAGCCACTATACCCCTACCCTAATCACCCAGGGCCAGGTACCAGACAACTAGAGACAGCCCCTACATCCCAGAACCAACAGAAATTATTCAAACTAGCCAATCCTAAACCTGCTTACCCTGACTCATCCATCCCTTCCAAAAGAAGCAGTAAAGGCTCATGCCCACTTCACCCGTAACACACACACCCCACCCCATCACTTCTGACAGATCTCGTTCTTCCCTTGTGTTCCTATCCCCTGTGATGTGGCAAGGGGAATCTGTGAATGTAACAAACTGTCTTTCCAATGGCAGTCACCTCCTGATCTGTTGGACTGAAAAATAATAAAACCTATATTTTAGAAGAGGAATCAAGTCTTTTCTTAATGCCTTTGTGATGCTAATGTTACTGTCTTTCTTGCAGTGTAATTATTCAATTAATGTTTTCTCTGCCAGTACTAATTTGTAAACATCCTGAGGGGGTTTATTTTGTTCACATTTGTATCCTAACACAGAGGCTTACACACTTGATAATATTATTGGGAACCGCTAATCAATGCCAGGCAGTAGACTTTGCATATATATCTACTTCATCCTCACAAAATCCCTGACCCTAAGAGCTTTTATACCACTTTACAAATAAGAAGCCTGAAGCCAGAAGCAATGAATTAATTGCCAAGATTTCTTAGATAATAATGCAACCAGAATTTAAGTCCTTCCTCTTCTGATTTGTATTTCTTTACTTTTAAACACTTAATATGCATTTCCAGTAAGCATTGGTAAAATGAATTAATTCATTAAGATAAATAAAATGAAAAAGGAATAAGTGCCAGTGTTTCTAAGTTAATTTGGGATGTGCTTTTTGAATGAATTTTTTGTGTGGAGATTAAATTTATAATCAGGAATGGAAATTCCATTAGTCATTCAACAATGATTTACTGAGCATGTTTAGTATTTCTGGCTCTGTGGTAGATGTTAGGAATACAGCAGGAGCAAAAACAGGAATGACTCTTGCCTCATTTTAATTATATCAAGAAAACTGTTAGAAGCAAGCAAGTCAGTAAGTCTTTTTTTTTCCCTCTGTAAGAGGAAGTTATAACGAAGGCAACTGAATGTCAATGCAAGACACTGATCAGGAAAAAGAAAAGAATCAGCCTGAGATTTCATTTAACACGCTTCCTTCTAGCTGCAGAGGAGAATGTCAATGGGAAGTTACGCTGGAAATGTCAGACTAGAGCTTGTTATTTTCTCTCTTGTACTTGTGACGATAGGATGGTCGAACGTAGCCTAAACTGAAGGCCATATAAGAGGGGGAAATAGTCTTAAAATTTGTTTTTAAAAACACAACCACTTAGGGACGCCTGGGTGGCTCAGTCAGTTAAGTGTCTGCCTTCAGCTCAGGTCATGATCTTGGGGTCCTGGGATCGAGCTCTGTGCTAGGCTCCTTGCTTGGTGGGGAGTCTGCTTCTCCCTCTGCCCTCCCCCCCCCCGCCCGTGCTCTCTCTTTCTCTCTCTCAAATAAATAAAATCTTTAAGAAGCACACACATACACAACCACATAAAATGTAATCAAATGTCACAGCCCAGTATGTCAACCTCATAAAGATTGGAGAAAAGCAAAAAATCTGTTCCTGGCTCCCTTCCATATTGATTGAATCTTATTCAGTGAAAATCAGTCAGTCCCTTGTTATTTGAGGCTAACTTTTAGCTCCTTTCTAGGCACTTCAGAGAACCCCAAATGGAATGTGAG